TCTGCCTTGGCCACGTTGGTTTCTATCATTGCGTTGGCTCTCATGCATATCCTTGAGTTGCAGCTTGAGGAGTTGCTCAGTAAACTCATGCTTCTTTTTATGCTTCTCTTCGTATGCTTGAAATGATCCTTGGAGTTGTTCGATCTTTATTTCTTCCAAGTCTTTAGTTTCTTCAATCGTCACGACGATGTGCTCAAATTTGGGATCCAACGAACGGAGTATCTTCTCTATTATCCTCACATCATCTAACTTTTCACCATTTCTTTTTAATTGATTAGAAACAGCTACTACTCTTGAGAAATAATCTGAAATAGACTCAGATGCTTTCATGTTTAAGGATTCGAATTCACCTCTTAATGTTTGGAGACGAACCTTCTTCACTTGCTCGGATCCTTTGTAAGAGGTTTGCAGCTTCTCCCACGCTTCCTTGCTAGAGCTTGCACTTGAAATATTTTCAAAACCATCATCATCTAATGCTTGATAGATGAGGTAGAGAGCCTTCTTGTCTCTCTTTCTTGAATCCTTCAAAGTTGTCTTTTGATCTGGTGTAAGAGTAGCAAAAGCATCATCATCCGCAGGCTCGTTATAGCCTTTCTCTATGATATCCCACACATCTTGTGATCCAAGAAGTGCCTTCATTTTGATACTCCAATTGTCGTAGTTGTTGTTGTTGAGTGTCGGAACTTGGAATGATGCCATACCATTTGCCATATCTCTCAATATAATGAGATTTTGTAAAATCCGATTGCACGGATGAATTCGGAACGATGAAAAAAAACTTTGGAGGGACTTGGACAACTCGGTCAAGGGCTCCAACTCAGCTTACTCGGCTCAACTCGGTGAGTCAACTCGATTTTCTGACAGTAGTCTTCCGGCGGTGCGTGGCGGTGCTTCAAAACTCAGATTGAGAAAATTCTGGCGGCGTCGTATTCCTCTCGTCGAGACCTTCAATCTTTCCAACTCGCTCTGATGCCACTCTGTTGGAAATAAAACACTCACACAAATAACTTTTATTGAAACTCAAACAAATATTACAAGAGTACTCTCACTCTAAAACAAGAACTACAACTCACTCTTATAAGACTTTGCTTCTTCACTCACTTAGAAGCTCTTAATTTTTCTTGATGCTTAAAACTAAAATGGGAAGGGGTATTTATACTACTCAAGAACAATCCTACACCACACAAATAAACTAATTTAAACCATTACAAATTCAACAAATATCTAACTCTCACCTAACTAAATTGATGTAAGCAATGACATCATTAATTAAATGATGTAAGCAATGACATCTTTAATTAAATGATGTAAGTAATGACATCAATTTAGTTTGGGTTTGGGTTTAGGCTCCCATAATGGATCAAGTTTATGATCTAACAGGGACATGCCGGAATTTTCGTCTAAGGTGCGGTTGCTCACTCAGGGAATAGTTTACTAGGAAATTCGACCGGTCCTGGTGGTGGAGGAACTCCAGGTTCTGGGGCATCTAGTGGAGGTTCTAATGGTAACTCGAAAAACAGTGGCAATGGCAAGAATTCCATAGCTTCGATTGTCGGTATTGTGATCGGTGTATTGGTTTTCATTGCTGTTGTTTGCTTTGTTTCTTATTAGTACGTGATGAACAAGAAATATGGGAAATTTGGTCAGATGAATGGCAATGCCAGTGATTCTGAGAAGCGACCAGTTAAGAATGGGGTAATGGGTAAAGCAACAAACGGCTATGGAGGATTGCCTGGTGAAATGCAAAGCCAAAGTAGCGGTGATTATAGTGATCGCCATTTCTTTGAGGGTGGGAATGTTGCGATCTCGATACAAGTGCTAAGAGAGGTGACTGATAATTTCAATGAGGCTAACGTTTTAGGACGAGGAGGTTTCGGGATTGTGTATAAAGGCGAAATGCCTGATGGCACACGGATATCTGTCAAGAGAATGGAGTGTGCAGAGAAAGGTACTAAAGGAATGAACGAGTTTCAAGCTGAAATTGCAATGCTTACGAAGGTTAGGCACAGGCATTTGGTTGCACTTTTGGGTTACTGTATTAATGGCAACGAGAGGCTCTTGGAAAATCAAACCTTTCAAAGTAATTTAGGTGTATCTTTGATTTTTCAATGCAACTGTAGGTGTGTTCCAAATACTTGAGTATATATGCTGATGCGTCAATAATCCGTTTTACATAAGATTTTACATTCATGTATTTATGTCATATTTGTGTTACATTTTTTATGTTGTGCATGTCGTGTTTCACATTATCGTCTTTTGCCTGGTTGTTCGTATCCTTAAATTTGCTCCCTAGGCCTCGGGCCTTTAGCCAACTGATGTTTACTTGGATGCGAGAATATGATACTTCAATTTTATTGTTTGGTTAAATATTAAAATTTTAAAATATGTACTTCATTTTCTTTCGATCTCAACAGCGACCGGAAGGGGTCAACAAAGGTGGATGTGTATGCATTTAGAGTGGTGTTGATGGAGATAGTCACCGGCAGACAAGCTTTAGATATAACCTTACCTGAGGAGAAATCACATTTGGTCACATGGTTCCGTAGGGTTCTAATCAACAAAGAAAACTTTCTGAAAGTTGTTGATGAAACAATCAGCTGCGATGATGAGACGATGGCAATGATCTTCAAGGTAGCCAAGTTGGCAGGTCACTGGACGGCTCGTGAGCCTTATCAAAGAGCCGACATGGGGCATGCCGTTAACGTGCTCGGACCTCTCGTCGAGCAATGGAAACCTACAACTCAAGAGGACGACGGAAACTCGGGGATTGAGCTTCACATGAGCCTGCCTCAGTTCCTACAGAAATGGCAAGTAGATTAAGGTACCTCAACAATGTTTGGTGATTTTCCTATTCCAAAATTCAGTCAAGCATTCCCGCGAAGCCCTCGGGATTTTCGGCTACATTTAGCTCATCCGATGGCCGGTAATGGAAATGCAATACCGGTCATGATTTTCGAAGAGGTGTGGGCTATTGTAAGAGATGATAGCTAAGAATGTTATGATCATATTATGTTTATCTTTGCTTTTCTTTTTGCTATGTTTAATGGAGCATTTACATAGGAAAAATGGGTTTTGGAGCATTTTGTTATGTGTAATGTTATGATCATATTCTTTAAATTGATAATTATTATTTTTAAATTAAGTTTGAATTATCTCTAAAAGTATTTCTTGTCCGGATTAAAGCTCGTTTCGACGTAGAGTACTTGAATCAAATCGAACAGATCAAATTACAATACAAATAATCCGATCCATGAACATTATATTACACTCTCTTGGTCAACTTATACCTAAAAAATAATGGATGATGATGTCACGCACGACGAGTACGGATCAACATCGTTAATGATGAGTACCGTTAAATTAATTTATAAAATATTAAATTATAAAGTATTAAATGTATAATTATGAATTAGTTAAAAATATGAATATAATTTAATTAAAATACAATACTTATCAAACATTAGTTTTTAGGGGCCGTTTGGATGGGGGAATGTGGGATTCCCCCGGGAATGGAATTCACATTCCCCGTTTGGTTTGGTCGGGAATGTTATTTCCGGTAATGTTTTATTACCAATAGTGGGTTTTTTGGGTATATTTGGGAATGTCATTACCTCTATTCCTTTAGGTATTGTAACATTACCGCGTTTTGGATTAAAATGCCATTAAATTTTTGTTTTCAAAAATATCATTCTTCTGTTATTGAATAATAAAAATTCTACAAAGGTTAAATTACAAATTTATCCTTAAACTATTTTAGATTTACAAAAAAATCTATAATTAAAATTTTATATGAAGTTCAGGGGTTAAAATAAAATTTTACCCTTTTACTAAACCTTTTTTATATTTGTAATTTTGTAAAAAAATTATATAAATTTTATGAATTTAAATTTTTTAAAGAAAATATATAAATATTTTCCGACTTGTAATATTATACAAATATATAATAAGGACAATTTGGTCAAATATACATTCTAACAATTTTTTATTCCTTTAACCAAGCACGGTAATCTTACATTCATGCTAAACCAACCAAACACAAAATACAACATTCTCAGTAATCCTATTCCATTGTAATCTTTTATTCCCACTGGTAATCTTACATTTCGTGAACCAAACGCACCCTTAGAGTAAACTATACCATTGATCACCTAATTATTTACCTCTTTTACTTTAACCACCGATTTTTTAGTTTTATCAATCTGGTCAACTAATTATTTAAATCTGGTCAATTAAGCCACATGCCGTTAAATATTAATGGAGAAGATGACGTGTCAGTTAAAAAAATTTGTATAATTACACATTTAGACCTCATTACTTAAACATTTTATTAATTTGGTCCTAACATTTTATTAATTAAGCCACTAAATTTGTCTAGTATATAGAACATAATCTATATAATTTATAATATAGTTAATGGTAATAAATGACCTTATAAGGACTCAAATATGAAATAATTGAATAGTATGAAAATATAAAATATATATCTAAACAAGTATTATAATTGATTAATAAATGAATATGTTTTATTTATATTTTAAATCACATTTAAAGTAAAAATTAAAAAAAAAGTAAATTTAATATGTTATAATTGAAACGTATCATTTTACATATTTTAAATTAATAAATTGTCTTCATTATTCTAATTTCATTGAACTGAAATGTATCATATCTTATATTTTAAAATTTATACCGTCGATCGAATTCTAATCTTATTTAACAACTCTATATTAGAATATCCTAATTCAATAAAACCAAATTTCCCCTAAAATTTTCTTCAAATATATAATGAATATATAATAAAATATGAAATTATTACTCTAACCGGGATATAAACAAGTAAATGCATAAGTTAAAATGCTTACTACGATAAACCCTCATCGGGAAAATTCTAAGTCAATAAAACTCTTCGTTATTTTTTATTTTTCCATTAAAATGATTTAAAATATAAATAAAATACATTCACATATTAATCAGTTATAATATTTGTGTGTGTATATATATGTGTGTGTGTGTGATATTATCGTATTATTCAATTATTCCATGTTGGAGTTCATATTAGGCCATTTTTCCTTTTATTTTATTTTCGTTAACTATATATATTATATCATGATAAATTTGTTATTTGAATGTTGCAGCCGAGTGGTTGGGGTGTTTATTTTCTCTCCTTACATCTTGAGTTCAAACCTTACCAGTAACGGTTATTGATTCAATTTATTTTCTATTCATTCAATTGGACGTGATACGTGTTACCATTTAATTGGATGAAAAATTTATTAAATTGGTGGTTGTAGTTTACCCTAAAAACTAAAATTTTATAAATATTTTATTTTAATTAAATTATATTTAAATTTTTAACTAATCCATAATTATACGTTTAATACTTTATAATTTAATATTTTATAAATTAATTTAATGGTTTTCATCATCAACGGTGCTTATCCACATTCGACTAGCGTTGTATAATTTTTTTTAATAAATACACTTCATAATCTTTAGGCTTTTCATGTACATTTCAACTACATAAAAAAAAATTTCATGTCCTTTTTCTTCAGTGTAATAAATTAAAGAAACTCAAAAAACATCATTGAACTAATGTCAGTTAATTCTCACTTAATTTACCCAAAATTCCCACTTTATAAACCAATGAACTCTGGGGGGGGGCAAATCCATTGCATTACAGAAGACAAAACCTGCTTGATAATATCAGCAATGGCGGCTCTTCTTGCAACAATCCTCTTGTCTCCTGTAAGTCGTTCAATATCGAAAATGCTGTCTTTTTTTTAACACTTTGATTGAATTTAACCCCTTTTTTCCGAGGTTGAACAGCGGCTGATATCTCGAGCAAGATAGGGGTGAATTATGATCGGAAAGGGAACAATTTGCCGTCGCCTTATCGAACCATTGAGACCGTAAGATCGATGAACGCAGGCCGTATTAAGCTTTATGATTCCGACCATGAAATATTGAAGCTTCTTTCAGGGACTAATTTCATGTATCCACTATGGTTCCGAACAATGACATAATCCGCATTGCTTCAAGCCAAGCAGCAGCTGAGCAATGGGTTCAAAGCAATGTCCTAGATTTTTACCCCGGCACGATGATCCGGTTCGTGTTAGTCGGCAACGAAGCCCTCAGCCACGACCGCAGAGTTTGGCCAAGCCTTGTGCCTGCACTGCGCAGGATTAAGAACTCTCTGAATGCTCATGATATTAAGAACATCAAGGTCAGTACTTCGTTGGCTATGGACGTATTGCAATCGACTTTTCCTCCATCCAGCGGTGAGTTTCGGTCTGATATTGCGGATACGGTGATGGCACCATTGCTGAAATTCTTGAACGGGACTAAATCGTATTTTTTCATCGATGTTTACCCTTATGTAGAATGGTCTGCTGACTCAAGGAACATCAGCTTAGATTTTGCTCTTTTTAGAGGAAGAGCAAACCAAACTGACCATAACACAAGCTTAGTTTACACAAATCTGTTAGACCAAATGCTTGACTCGGTCATTTTCGCGATGAGAAAGCTCGGATACCCCGATATCCGGCTCGCGATAGGCGAAACAGGTTGGCCTAGTGCAGGGGATATGGATCAAGTTGGGGCGAATATCAACAACGCAGCCACTTTTAACCGAAAACTGGTTCAAAAAATTACTACAAAGCTACCAATAGGAACCCCTGATAGACCTGGTGCAGTCATACCAACATTCATTTTCTCCTTATATGATGAAGACCAAAAGCCAGGGCCGACAACGGAAAGGCATTGGGGTTTGCTTCGTTCGAACGGAACACCGATTTACGATATTGATATCTCCGGGAAGCGGCCTCTTTCCAGTTACAAACCATTGCCTGCAGCAAGAACCAACATTCCGTATAGAGGTAAGCTTTGGTGCGAGGTGGCTCCAGGGGCCGATGTGGCGAACCTGTTGTCGGCATTGTCGTATGCTTGCAGCCAAGGTAACCAGACTTGTGCCGCATTGAACCCTGGAAAACAGTGTTACGAGCCGGTATCGGTGTTTTGGCATGCTAGTTATGCATTTAGCTCATACTGGTCTAAGTTCCGAAAACAAGGTGCAACCTGCTACTTCAATGGCTTAGCCAGACAGACCAGACGTAACCCAAGTGAGTTAACTCGATTGTCTGATTATTACAAGCTTTCAATTTGGTCTTAAATCTCTGTAATTTGGTTCCTTTTCTATCAGGTCGTGGACAGTGCAATTTCCCTAGTGTGACTCTCTGAAGATGATGATTGATGATATAAAGCTCAAGCTTTAACTTCCATCAGGGAATTCAGACACAGTGGAGTGGATTACATATATATACATATACATATATTATATGTAATAATATCGTTAACTGGTAAATTATAGGGAAAAATGTCTGTTTTACCATAAAAAATAAGGGAATGGATTTTCTCATTTCAAGTGTTGATTAAATGTTAAATATTCTTTGAAAGTGAACGAATTCGTGTGAAATTAAAGAGTTTGTGGAAGATGTTCTATGGCATACAAGACATATGGGTATGGGTGGTACTCAAGTTAACTACTTTAAGGATTCAATTAAAGTGTTTGGAAGTTTACGAATCAATTTAAAGTTTGACGTATAATTTGGGGACTTTTGATGCAATATACCTTACATTATAACCTAAATCAATTATTATTATAAAAATTAATAGGATAAAATACATACCAAGTCACTTAATTATGTGTTTGATAATAAATGGGTTATTCTTTTCAAAAAAAATTGTGAACGAATCACTTAATCAAAATATTTTTACAAATAAATCATTGATCATTAAGTATTAGATTGAATGGAGATATGATCTAGTATAATACACATGCTAAATATATATACTAAAATCGTAAATTTGGTTAAAAATTTTAATCTAATTTTTATCCATAAATTATCCAAATTTTGTTTGATGAATATGAATCTAAATTAAATATTCACTAAATATCCTAATTCATTAAAAAAATCGCAATCAAAATTTTAATTCATATGGAATGTTTGAATTAACTCAAATTTAAATCTACTAAGAATTAGATTAACAAAATTCAAATCTTTTTTAAAAACAAACATATCCTTTATTTATAATTCCTAATAAAATTCTAATATCTAAATTTATAATCCACATATATAAATAATACAAATTCAGATAATAAACATTTAATAATATCTATTTATATTAGGTAGTTTTGTTGTACGATAGCCTAAAATACTATTAAGGAAAGGTATTATTGAAAATATTATTATTTTTTAACATTTCCGGTAAAGCGCTACCTAAAACATTATTTGTTTTACCGGAAATGTTAATTTCATTAGCTAATTTCCTATAGAAAAAAATAATGTTTTAGGTAGAATCTAATATTAACATTCCCAGTTGAAGAAAAAAAGTAGAACAAATAATATTTTAGATAGCACTTTACCGAAAATATTAAAATAATAATAAAATTTCTGATAACACATTTTCTTTAACAGTATATTAGACTGTCGCACTTGATATTTCCCCATTTATATTAGTTATGAATCTATAATTAATAATTATTTTAACATCCAAATTCAGAAAATAATTAAATATCTATTAATATCCATTTTCAGCTTTCCCCAAAACTCGACGTGATCCAACCGGGTCCCATCCGTTAGGAAAGATTCCAAGAGAAAAAACTTCACGATACGTGTCAATTTGAACACCGTCAAATGACCCTTTCCAGATCAGATAAAGAGTTGGGAATCTCTAGACTGACACGTAAGACCACAAGGTGAAAAAGAAAACAAACAAACAACATTTGACGTAATTCTAATTTCCAGTTCCGAGTTATCAGCCACACCCACACAGTACTTACATTACACAATTTCTCTGTTCTATTTAAAGACTCTTGATTTTATAAAATCAAAGTGTAAGAAAAAAACGATAGAAATCTGCGATGGGTGAAGAAAGTGAGTGTTGCAGAACGTGACCAGGTTATGGAACTCCACTGGAAGCCATGTCTGGTCCTAGAGAAGCTCTTCTTTACGTTACTTGTGTTTATAATGGTAATTCTCTTTTTTTTCCTCCCTTTTTTAATATTTTTTGGTGCTTTATCTGGTGTGATGTTGATGATATCTTATTTGCAAGAATGGGATTTTTCTGCAATTTTAAAAAAAATCTGGGAATTGAAAGGGTTGATGTATCACGTATGTATGCAGGAACAGAGAGAGAAGCCTGATTTCCTGGCAACGGTTGATGTAGATCCAAACTCACCCACTTACTCTAAAGCCATACACAGGCTATCTATGCCGTATGTAGATGATGAATTACATCACTCTGGGTGGAACGCTTGCAGCTCTTGCCATGGTGATCTTCGGCCGATCGACGTTTCCTCATCCTGCCCTCGTTGCTGTAAGCATGGACTTTTCAATCCGGATTTTCATGTTCATGTATGCTTAGTTATGGTACAGACATGATTTGAACTGTTTGTTTCAGGTCGGGTCGGATCTATGTGATCGACACCAAGACGCGTCCCAAGGCTCCGTCGTTGCATAAAGTGGTGCAGACTGAGGGAAGAAGACCGGTCTAGCTTATCCCCACACGTCTCACTGCCTTGCCTCCGGAGATATAATGATTTCGTGTCTCAGAGACAAAGATGGAAATGCCAAAGGAAACGGATCCCTTCTCCTTGATTCTGAATTCGATGTCAAAGGGAGGTAATGTGATATATTGAAAGAACAATTAGAGGGATGAATGGTAGTTAAATGACTGTCACTTTTGATTGAACTCTGTTGCTGTTGTGAATTGTGATTCTTCAGGTGGGAGAAAACGGGAAATAGTCCTCTGTTCGGCTACGATTTGTGGTACCAACCTCGACATAAGACGATGATAAGCTCATCGTGGGGTGCTCCTGCAGCCTTCATCAAAGGTTTTGATCTTCATCAAAGCTGGCCTGATGGCGAACTAAAACAAACGATGGATCTTGGTGACACCGGTCTCATACCATTAGAGTGTTGGGAAATAACCGAATAAGAGTAATTTCTCTATAATTAGATTAGTGAGAATGCGAAATAAAAGAGAAAAAATCATACCCGAAATTGATAACGGAGTTCAGTCAATTGTGCTTATGTCTCTAGACTGCTGCAAATCTTTTACTAAGAGAGAAAATTTACAGGTGTTTACAAAACATTCACTATTTACAAGAAACTCTAAAGTATTGAGAGAAGGAAATGATTTGGTATGATTTTGAAGTTAAATGGGCTAGGGTATTTATAGTTGAAGCTTAAATATTAATCTTGTAAATACCTTAAAGTGTACAGTGACTAAAATTTAATTAATTAAAAAATTGGAATACCAAATTCGGTGCCCTTGAAAACCCATGCAAAAATGGTGCCCTATAGCCTCCATTGTTGACTTTACATAGAGGTGTTTCCAGTTTCATTTGTCTCATACCTGTATGGGTTCATTCATTGTATATACTCTTATGGTTGTATGCAGACAAGATTCCTTCATGATCCCTCTAAAGATACAGGGATGATGGATGATGGAGCCATGAGGTGGGAACATATAATCTTGTATTGCCATTGCTGATAAATTTTTCAGAGTATTTGATTTATTAAACTTCTGCAGGTGACAATCTCAGTGAAACCATTGAAGGTGCAAAACGATCCTTCCTGAAATGCCGGGACTCATAACTGACTTCTTGATCTCTCTCGACGACCGTTTTCTGTATTGTGTCAATTGGTTTCATGGAGACCTCCGACAATATAACATCGAGGACCCCAAAAATCCGGTATTGGCTGGCCAAGTATGGGTTGGAGGACTGCTTCGAAAGGGAAGGCCGTTCCTGATTATTTCTAGGCTCGCAACGAAAATAAAAAAATGGACCTAATATAAAAAAATTTAAGAAATATGTAATATAAATTTTTTAATAGATTTTTTATTAAATTAAAAAATAATTATTCATTATAATATAAAAGATGTTAAAAATATATTTAAGAATGCAAACACTTATAAAAAATAATACATTCGATCATTTTTTATGCAAAACCATTTATGATAGCATTTGAAAATGAAAGAACGATCTTATCTAGAGTTTGAAAATATATAAAAGTTAAAAGAAAGAATTTGAAAACGTGATCTACCTAGAATTTTAAGAACAATCTTCAATATGATTCATGCACCACAATTGATGATAAACAAGTGTGACTTTACATGTGAGAGAAATATGATAAATTAAAAATGAGAATAATAATTTTTAGAAGAATCGTGATACATGAAAGAGAAAAAAAACATGCTAATTATAATTAAAATTTTTCCTCTCATTAAGTTTTGAAGAAAAAAATTACGTTAATAGATTTGTTCATTGATATAAAAAATCGGGAAAGAGATTTGGTGAATTCATGGTGGGAATTTGAAAATACCAAAATTAAAGATATTCAATTGATTTTTTTTTTTATTTTGGGAAAGAAATATTGAATTAGAATTTTATAGAAGAACAAATTATTAACGTTAATATAAAATTCAATAATGACAATTAACACCTTAATAAATTCATGGGTCCCATTATTTTATTGGGTAAATTATGTGTTTAGTACATAAACTATCAGCTTTGGCCCGTTTTAGTACTTAAACTTTCAAAAAAAAAATTCAAAATCATACCTAAGATTTAATTTTTGTTTCATTTTAGACACGCCGTTAAAAACTTTAGTTTTTTATTTCATTTTACTACCATTCAAAATTTAACGTTAAGTTTTAATTTTTTTTAAAATTTTAGGTACTAAAACAAACCAAAACTGATAATTTATGTACTAAACGCGTTAAGCGGTGGGGGTACTAAAATGAAATGAAAACTAAACATTAGATATGATTTTTTTAAAAAAAATTAAAAGTTTAGGTACTAAAACGGATCAAAACTGATAGTTTAGGTGCTAAATGCATAAATTACCCTAATTTTTATTTTTCTGATAATAAATTAATCATATTTTTAATTTTATTATCAGAAAAATAAAAATATCATACTTAAAATAATTATTTTGTGGGCCCTGGGCGGGTGCCCTCCTGCCCTGGCCCAGGGCTGGCACTGAGTGACAGAAGATGGTAAAGCATGGCAATCCGATGTTCCGAAATCCAGGTCTGTTCTAACATTATATTAACTCATTGGATTAATCGTATCGATGGAAATCGATTAACACTGTTATGTTCATTACAGGGACATCGTCTAAGAGGGGCACCGCAGATGATCCAGCTGAGCTTAGACAGGAAGCAGCTATACGTGACGAACTCGCTATTCAGTGCATGGGATCGACAATTCTATCCGGAACTTATGGATAAAGGTTCCCACATGCTGAGGATCAATGTCGACACGGAGAAAGGTGGTCTTAAAATAAACTCGAACTTCTTTGTTGATTTGGAGCTGAACCTGATGGCCCTTCACTGGCTCACAAGATGAGATACCCCGGCGGTGACTGCACTTCGGACATCTGGATCTAATCATCTCAGAACCAATTTAGCTCTGAAGAAACCATCCTTTGAAGTTGTAGGAAAAAAAGTAATGTTCTATTATCATATCAATGTGCAATTATAAACCGCTGAAAATGATCATTAAGGACTCCAATTTGTCTTACTTCAAGTCACGAATCCGGACATGACCATGAAATCAATATGTCGAAACCTGTTTTAACCAATTCGACAGATGGCTTATCAACCGTTGCCACGTGTGCCGGCAGGGTCTGGCTTCTACTATGTGACAAACACAGATATCTTAAGTTTGATAATTCCCATAGGACCATTTTGTTGATAATTCCGATAGGTCATTTTCAGACAAAGAAACATAAAAAAAGGAATTTTCTCTGCCTATAAATTACAAAGGGGTTTTCTCAATGTATTTCATTAGCAATTGCAGTTGTTAGAAAGCTTTTTGTAAGAGAAATGGGTGAAGAAAAAGGGTGTTGCAGGAGAGCAGGACCAGGATATGCAACTCCATTGGAAGCCGTGTCTGGTCCAAGAGAAGCTATTCTTTATGTTAATTGTATTTATAATGGTACTTTCCCTAGTATGTGTTTATGCATTGGAATTTAAGATCCGATCAAGCTCGAGCCGAGTTTCATGTATCGAATTTCAATGGATTTGTATGTATGCAGGAACGGGTAGAAAGAAGCCTGATTTCCTGGCAACGGTTGATGTAGATCCAAAATCGCCCACTTATTCTAAAGTTATCCACAGGCTGTTTATGACGTATATAGGTGATGAACTGCATCACTCAGGGTGGAATGCATGCAGCTCTTGTCACGGAGATCCGTCGGTTGATCGACGTTTCCTGATCCTACCTTCGGTGGCGTAAGTGACTTTAAACTGGATTTTTGTTTTCGTATATCTATAGGATCAAACATTCGTACTTGTATCTAAATATCTGTTCGCTTGTTTTAGGTCTGGTCGTATCTATGTAGTTGACACATCGAAGAATCCAAAGGCACCCTCGTTGCACAAAGTGGTGGAGCCTGAGGATATAGTCGAGAAGACCGGCCTAGCGTATCCGCACACGTCTCACTGCCTTGCCTCTGGGGATGTGATGATTTCATGTCTCGGAGACAAACATGGTAATGCCAAAGGAAATGGATTTCTTCTCCTCGATTCTGAATTCAACATCAAAGGGAGGTAAACTGATAAACGTAAAGAACAATTAAGACAATAAATAATCTGTTTCTGATAACTGTTGGTTGTAATTCTTTAGGTGGGAGAAGCCGGGGCATAGTCCTCTGTTCAGCTACGACTTTTGGTACCAACCTCGACATAATACGATGATCAGCTCGTCATTAGGCGCCCCTGCTACCTTCACCAGAGGTTTCAATCCTCAGCATATTGCAGATGGTTTGTATGCGAGGCATCTGCATGTGTATAGCTGGCCTGATGGTGAGCTGAAACAAATACTGGATCTAGGTGACACCGGTCTCACACCCTTGGAGGTGACTGACTGATTGATTACATGTTACAACTTTGAATTTAGGACTCGGCTTCGTTCGAAGGCGATATGTAGTTCTGTTTCGTTTTAATTGTTAGAATTGTATGGTGAGACCTCAGATTGAATCGATATAATCTTGTCATTTGCAGTTAAGATTCCTGCATGATCCCTCTAAAGATACCGGGTATGTTGGGTGTGCATATACGAGTAACATGGTTCGGTTTTTCAAAACCGAAGATGGATCATGGAGCCATGAGGCAGGCACATAACATAACTCTACCTTTTCTGTATATGATCTTCGATTTCGGCAATTCTTATAACGTACTTGATAACTTCTGCAGGTGGCAATCTCAGTGAAACCATTGAAGGTACAAAATTGGATTCTTCCTGAAATGCCTGGATTTATAACCGACTTTTTAATCTCTCTCGACGATCGTTATCTGTATTTAATCAACTGGATGCAAGGAGACATCCGACAATATAACATCAAAGACCCCAAAAATCCAGTCTTGGTTGGCCAAGTATGGGTTGGTGGAGTGATTCAAAAGGGAAGCCCTGTCTTTGCTTTGACCGAAGATGGTAAAACATGGCAAGCTGATGTTCCGGAAATCCAGGTCTGTTCTAATATTCATATCAATATGTCACATTAGTCATATCAATGGCGATGGATGAACATTGTTACGATTATTTTTCAGGGACATCGTCTGAGAGGGGGACCGCAGATGATTCAGTTGAGCTTAGACGGTAAGCGACTATACGTGACGAACTCGCTATTCAGCACATGGGATCGACAATTCTACCCAGAGCTTGTGGAGAAAGGTTCCCACATGCTGCTGATTGATGTCGACACCGAGAAAGGGGGTCTTAAAATAAACCCGGATTTTTTTGTCGATTTCGGAGCCGAACCTGATGGACCTTGCCTGGCTCATGAGATAAGATATCCAGGTGGTGACTGCACTTCAGATATTTGGATTTAAGCATCACAAAACCAGTTCACATATGAACAAATTGTCCTTATAAATTGTAGAACAATAATAATAGCAACATATAATCTTTGATGCGATAATGTAATATCATCATATCAATGTGAAATTATAAAGTGCTGAAATTTGTTCAAACAATCACCAACCATGAAAGGTTGTTTCTTGGTAGGAACCATCTTCCGACCAAAGCGATCCCGTCGGCCATGAACGGAGACGAGATATCTATCATTATAAGATGAACAGTGTTTCTCTGATGAATCACTACTTTGCTGATGATAATACCTGATGTAAATGGTGTAAAATGAAAGAAACAGGACCCCCATGAAAAACAGCAACTTTCCTGCTGTCAGATAAATCTAGTCTCTTGTGCATGTCTTATTTTGCCAACTTCTAAGATAAAATTGTTAGCTGCCCCCTGTCTCGTACGAACATCTAACAATTGCCTCCTCAGAGAAGCTATGTTCTTCTTTATACCATTGATTTGTCTCCTCACCACTTCTATTTCACCTCTCACCTGCATATGTTTCTTCCTGTATTCATCATCCAAAGACTCTTCCATTTCCTGCATTTAACAAAAATCAATCCGATTTGTATAGAGGCCCGAACCATATTTGCATGACTACTTGACTCAACTCGACTAACTCTGTTACCTTGGTTTGTTGTTTGATGACATTTTTGGGAGGCAAAGAATTCCAAATCTTTCCCTTTACAGGAGCATTAGCAAAGGCTTTATCTCTCTCCCATTTAAGCTCATTAATCTCTTCAATAACTTTCTTTTCATCAGCCATTATTGCTGGTCTTGGGATGAAATAGTTCCTACCAATGTCCATCTTCAATCTCCATATCTGTTCTAAAAAAAACACAAAAAATTCAGTAACTAGAAAGAAAAAGCAACTTCAACAAAACATTGAATCGAATGTTTGAACATAATTACTCGATTGTTAATCTCTTCGACAACTGACGGACTCGTATCGTCGTCATCATTTGATATCTTTTCGCAGGCATTCACCTCTTTCAAGAGCTTCTTCTCCTTGGCCATGTTATCAGTTCCATGATGCATATGGAAATGCAAGTTCTGGATCGAAATTTTCGATTAACCAAGTTATTTTTCTATGAAACAAACATCGAAAAAACAATGATTTTGTGTTCTTACATGGAGATTCAACTTGTCTTGTGTGCTGATAGATCTATCCTTATAAGCATTATTAGCAAAAGTGAGCTTGTCGAGGTCCCGTTTTAGAGCAGCCATTCTCTTCCCTGCAATGCTCCACTTACTTCTAAATCCTCTCTCTTCATATTCTAAGCTGTATAACTTGTTATAAGCCGCGCGTTCTTCAAACTGTTCACATAGATCACAGTGTCTTATTATTTATGTCGTTGATATACACCGATCATGGTCATATCGTTGACGTTTATTGGAAACCAAGTGATGGGTGTTTTGATTAACTTTAAAAGCCAGCGTACCTGTTTCTCGTCTATCGTCTCCGTGATTCGGAATAAATCTTCATTCGATTTAGGAAGCAGCTTCATAGCCTGTTGAATCCCAGATTCTGTATCAGGGTTTTGCTGAAGCATCACATAAATTAAATCGTGAACTCGGTTGCTCTTAGCTTTATTCTTAACAGCTTGAAGCTCTTTATTTTCAGGTTTTGAACGATGACCTGGTCTCTTCAATCCTACATCTATTGCTGCAGCCATGATATTGAACCAAACTCTGTGAAACCCAAGTTGAAATGATGGATTTGGATGTTTATTATATATAATATACGTATAATCAAATATGAAAGGGAACTTGTTGAGGCCTTGCACCCCACGGCAGACAAGGTCAACCCTATATGAGTTTGTGAGATGGAGGATGCAACATGGAACAAATAAAGAATGAAATATTTTTATATTAAGCTAGATTATTAAATTTGATGGAGGGTGAAACATGCAACCCTATATGATTTTGATTTTTGTCATATTAAATTAGATTAATTTGGGTTAGAATCTATTTAACTTAAAAATAAGAAAAGTCTTAAACAATTATACCTCAATTAATATACGTTGATTTACTAATTAAGATATACACTAAACTACTAGGGCTATCTTATGAGATATCTGCTAATTTTTTTAATAGTAAGAGATTGTTACAATGTAGTATCTATACTTTTAATAGTCAAGGGACTCAACAAAGCAATGTCCTATAGTTGTGAGACCATTTTGTAATTTTTAATGGTCGAGAGAATCAACAAAACAAGGTCTTATAATTAAGTATCATTTTATTGTTATTATTTTACATAATTTATAGATAGATGCTACACATATGTATGAATGATAATAATAATTAACATATTACAAAATAATAATAATAGATTAGATCTTATCCCAAAATAAATGGGTCAAATTTTATTGATTAATCATTACAAAAACTAAAAGCTTAGTCAAACATGTTTATTTTGAATCTTGATTAGCCTTATAACTTCTTTGTAAGCTGCCCCTTTCTTCCTACCAACAGCCAACAATTGCCTGTTCAAAGAAGCTATGTTTTTCTTCACACCATTGATACGTCTCTTTGCCGCTTGTATTTCACATCTCAGCTGCATATGGTCCTTCCTGTATTCATCATCCAAAGCCTCTTCCATTTCCTGTATTTAACAACAACAACAAATAATCAAACCAATTCATATCCAAGCCGTCCGAGAACTAAACATATGATACGTTTGATCCGACATGAATCAAGTTTGTGTTAGATCATAACTCGATTCGACCTGAGCTATGAAATTGAAATTTGTTACCTTAATTTGTTGTTTGATGACATTTTTGGGTGGCAAAGAGTTCCAAATCTTTCCCTTTACAGGTGCACTAGCAAAGGCTTTATCTCTCGCCCATTTAAGCTCATTAATCTCTTCAAGAACTTGCTTTTCATCAACCATTACTGCCGGTCTTGGGATGAAAGAGGAAACACAAACCGATCGTCGAATCGAAGGCTCGAACGTAGTTACTTGATCATTAATCTCTTCAACAACTGACGGACCCGAATCGCGATCGTTGTTCAATCTCTTTCGACTGGCATTCACCTCTTTCAAGACCTTATTTTCCTTGGCCATGTTATCAGTTCCATGATGCATCCGGAAATACAAGTTCTGGATCGAAATTTTTCGATTAACCAAGTTATTTTTCATGAAACAGACATCGAAAAAATCAATAATTTTTCGTGCTTACATGGAGATTCAACTTGTCTTGTGTGCTGATAGATTTCTCCTTGTAAGCATTATTAGCAAAAGTGAGCTTGTCGAGGTCTCGTTTCAGGGCAGCCATCTTATTCCATTCATTGCTCCACCAATTCCTCAATCCGTTCTTTCTGTATTCTAAGCTGTCTAACTGGTAATAAGCTGCACGTTCATCAGCCTGTTCATATTAACAATAATGGTGTCATGAAAATAAATCGCAGCTTTCGATCGTCTTCGATATTCATCGTAATAGAAGAGGTGATCGAAAACCGACTGATTGGTGTTTTGATGAAGTCAGAAGCTAGATGTACCTCTTGATCGTGTATCGTCTTTGTGATTCGGAGTAAATCTTTATTCAATTTCGTCAGCAAGTTCATAGCCTGTTGGATTCTGGATTCTGGATCTGGGTTTTGCTGAAGCCTCATGAAAATTAAATCTTGAATTCGATCACCTGCTGCTGTAGCCATGATATTAATTGTGTCTAAATGTGAATAAATATATGTATGCATGTACATATATACACCTATAATCAAATATGAACAGGGATAGTTATGGGTGAGGTCAAATTTTTGGCATATCTTAATATGATAAAAATTAAATCATTCCACCCGTATTTGGTTTGATTCGTATTTAAAAAGATTATACTCGATCTGTAACTTAACTTGATTTTTAAAGTAAAATTATGCATTCACACATGATCATACAAATATATATAACTATATACAAAATTCATTTTTATACAGTTAATTAAGTACTTAACTGAAAAAAATAATATATTGAAAAATTAATCAAATTGAATCATTCAAAACCTATCAAATCTAAATTAATTTTTCACCCCAAAATATAAATGATCCCTACTTGTTTAGACCTTGCACCCCAAGCCAGGCAAAGTCAACCCAAACCTTACTAATATATTTATATTTGACTCACTTGGGTTTTTTCTCCCTCTTATAAAAAAAATCTGTAGATACTCGATTTGTCCAGGGCTAAGACGGAGCAAACCCGAAGCAATGGTAACTTAACCCGACCCTAAATCTATTGGAGGCCTAACTCAAGCCCAATTACCCAACAGAGCAGCTTATAGCCCACGTGAAACCTGGAAAGTAAAATGGTTATAGGGAGTTAATAAACGGGAGAAGGGAGTTAACAAAAATAGGGAGCCATTATTGGAAGTGGAGAGGAGCATGATACTTGGGCAATTAAAAACTGTAAAGAGCCAGTTTTGAATGGTAATTAACCACTGGAAACTAGAAAGGGGTTTTGGGGGGGACATGCAAAAGGAAAAAAGAGGAGATTGCACAGGGAAAGAGGGAGAAAGGGGAGAACACAGAAAAAATGAGAGATTGAGACGGGAGAGATATTTTTTATTTGGGTTTTACACAATAGAGCAGAACAAAAACAGTGTGTAAAATATTTGCTGGCCACATATTTATAAATCAAACGGTGTTGTCATAAAGGGATTTCCTCGACCCTGGTTCGTTGGAAGCAAGCAATAGAAACAAGTCAATTTTTTGGCATTCGAATATAAGCAAGCAAATTTCCAAGGTTTTCTCCAATTCTTCTTCTGAAGCTTTAATTTTTTGTTCCTTATTTGAAACTAACAAAAATGTAAATGAGGTAGTTTAAATGTTTACCTTAGTTACGATTCATCTCGTTTTGCTTCAGAATTGTTCGAATTTACACTATCAAAACAAAGGGGCTGTGTGAATTAGAAATGAGTTCATTAATAAGTTAGAAGAAAGAGGGGTCTCGGTTTACCTTAGTAGTTGGGGTCGTAACACCGGGGAGGGGAGACGCCGAAGTGATTTACAACCAAAGTTGGAGGCTAGCAAGGCGGAATGAGGGCTGTAAGTAGTTCGTGGTTGTCAGTTTAGGTCACCGGACCGGCGAGTAATGGCCGGCGTAAAGAGCTTTGAAGCTCTCGGTCAAAAACGAAAAGAAAAGAGGGGTGTAAGGAGATGAACGCGGCTGGGTATATTATGTTTGAAATTAGGCTAGTTTAGTAATTCATTTAAGTTTCATATTAAAGTTTTGGGTTAATTATTTATTTGGTCACTAACACTTTAGGTGTAAATTATCTCTAGATCCTCCCATGTTTAACGTTTTTTTAATTTAGTCACCTGCAGGGCTTGATTTTTAATTTTTTTTATTTGTCTCGACTTAATTATTTTCCAGTTTTTGTTTTAGTTACTATTTTGAGTTATTTAGGTTTAAATTCCTTGTTCGTTTTTATTTAAGTCTCCTTTTTAATTTTTAGTCAGCATATTTAATTTTACGTATGTTTAAATTTGTAGTTACTAATTTTGTTAATATGATGTATATATATACACTTTTTAAAATTTATAGTTTGGCATGTTATGTTTTTTATTTTTATATTTAGGTCACATGTGTACATTATATGTTAATATGCATGGTTTATAATTTTTAATTAAAATATATGTATATAATTTTTTGCATGTCACGTCGTATGATATTTTTAATCTTGTTTAATTAATTTTGGCATGACATCCTTTTTGCACGATTCGCATGGTAACATCATTTGCATAACTCAATATATTACATAATCGGACTAAAGGGTAATACCCTTTTAATTTAAAATTGTCCTAAGTGGCCTGTCTTAACTGATTAGAGGGTTGTTTTGACGATTTTAAATTAAAAGTGTATCCTGAAAGTGAAACAAAAAAATTGATTCGTCACCTAAAATTTGGGAACGAAAGAAAAGGAAATGTTCGTTTATTTAAATTTATCGAGAAAAGGTTGTTATAGCTTTTAAGATCTAGTCTCGATATTCGTAAATAATCGAATATTCTTTATCTTTCTAAAACGACTTGGTAATTCTAATTTAATTTATTTGGGTGCTTTTGAATATTATAATGAAATTTTAATATTATATTATTTTAATTTGAGTAGGAATTAATTTTCTCAAGTACTGATAAATTATTCTTTCTCGATATGAAATAATTGAATATTACTACATTTCATTGTAAAATTAGCATTTTTTCGGGATCATAAATCAAATCAAGTTCGAATTTGTCAAGTTCAATGCAAAGGCGTTAATTAATCGACTAGGTACCGATTTAGGGCGTTATGGGTGTGCTAATCCTTCCCCACACGTAACCGACTCCCGAACTCAATTTTTGGTAACGCAGACCTTAATTTGTTGTTTTAATTAAAATTAATTTTTATTTAAAATAACAAACATTTTTGGGTGCCCAATCACACCCTAACCAAAGATTGGTGGCGACTCTTTGAACTGTATTTTTTTTTTATCGTAAAGGAAATTCAAAATTTTTCGAAACGAGAGGTCTTTTAAATCGCATTTGTTTTTTAAATTAAAATGAGATAATTTAGAATTAATGTGGTTTTCAAAATCTCACCTTTCAAGAAAAATCGTTTGGACAGCTTGGCGACTCCGTTGGGGATTTTTTTTTAGAGAGTCAGGCCGATAGTCGATTAATTAATTGTCTTTGCAATTGAAAATTATAAATTTGTTTTGATTTGGTTTTTGATCCCTTGTTTGGTTTTTAATAAGTTTTGTTTGTATTTTGATTTTTTTAATTTAATTCGATAAACTAATAAATAGTTGTACTGATTTGTTTGCTAATGGTTTCAGATTAATTGTGTGAATTTAGGAAATTTTGAGTTTTTTATTTTGTTTTTTCGCTTTTCCTCACACACTGCACAGCTGCATTATCATAACATGAGCTAAAACCCCGCTCCGTCCTATTTAAGTAGGAGTGAGAGACTATGTCCTCGTGTGGTTTTCACCTCCGCAAGGGATAGTGGATCGCTCCTGGAGCTCACACCTTATGGTCCTCGTGATGGTAATCACCTCCGCATGGACATAAGGAGGTGTGTTCCCTCGAAATTGAACTCGATCCCCTAAAGCCTGTGATGGGCCAGGATTGAGGGTTTGGTAGCCCAAGGGGGCACCGACAAGGACAATTCGAGAACCTATTACTTTAGAACCGAACCCAGCATATAGTGAACATAAAGCCTGAATTTAGGTCGATCCTAACCTGAACCTTAAGAATACCGTGAGGAGGGTACACAAGGAAAAGATTTTTGAGTCATTTATTTTCGCTTTTTGAATAAATGCATGCGAACTAGAAATCATGTGGTTAGGTTTATTTTTTTAGAACAAGCATGCGAATTAGATATCATGCGGTTAGGATTTTTATGAATAACAAAGCATGGGGTAGATATCATGTTGGGTAGGATCTACTAAAGCATGATTGGGTAGCCAGCATGTAAGGGTAGGTTTTATTTAATGATTATGATATTTATTATTTTGTTGCTGATATTATGTGTACTAACCCATTTTTGTTCTATGTCTATGTTATTTTGATTTTATTGCATTCGCATCTTCATGTCATCACAAGGTGTTAATTCACAAGTGATTGGCTAATAAGAAGGTTGGTCATAACGAGACAAGAAATTTTTAACCATGTAGTCAAAACCAGGAGATTCAAATATGCTCAAATGATCCATGAAGAATGACATCCGATGAATGAAGAAATCTGAAGTTGATTGAAGACTTCCTTTAAAGGAGTGAAGGCCAATATATTCCCTCCGAAGATAGATACAATTATACCAAGGACAAAAAGACCCTTCACAAAGACATGAAGATCACTTCGTATTGAAAGTAAACATGGAGACCTCACGATTCGATTTAAAGATATCTGGCGTCATCAAAGGTGATAAAATACGCCGACAAATTTGGGTTCAATGTTAGATTCCATGAAGAATATGGCTCAAGGAAATGAAGAAATGAAGAATCACATTTATATTTTGACTACATGGTGTTCTGAATTCTTGTTGTCTAAATGAAGGTTGTTCTATGGTGGTCACTTTTAGGATTAACACCTTGTGCATTTGCATTCTTATTAGCTTCAATTTATTTTTTTTTATTTTTTTATTTTTGCTATTGTTGCTTTTTGTCCTTTTGTTATTTTATTTGTACTAACCTGTTTTTTATGTTGTTTTTCTCTTTGTCTGCATTGCATGATCATGACATTCAAAAGGTGTTGATTTGTGAGTGGTCATCATAGTAAAAGGTTTTCATGACGGACAAGGGGTTTTGTGATCAAACAGACTATAACACAGTCAAGAAATGGCATCCTGAGAAAGCTTCGAAAATAGTGGAGAGTTACGCACATAAAGATCATATGTCTGACGAAGAGCACAAGGAGATAAGAGAGATAAAAGAGAAGATGTCCAAGATGATGGATAGAATAGATGCTTTGTCAAAAAGAAGAGAGACTTTTACCAAAGAAAAGAAAGAACTCAATGAAAACAATCTCGAAGTGTCAGATACGCAAGGGATTACTTTAGAACCTGCTGATTCTAGCCAAAATGAGAAACCACGCACAATCATTATTCGTATCAACAAGTTGTTTGGAAATGCCAAGGAAATAGTGGCAACTATAGAAGTTCAGAAGGATGAAAAGAAGACATACAGTCCAAACTCGTTGGTGTTTGATAGTCTATTCCCAACATCAGGGGAAATAAAACTGGAAACTCCAATTCAACCCAAGTTGAGAGGTGGATCTCGTTGTGATTCCATCCCAATATCATATAAGGAATTGTATGATGAACTGTTAGAAGCCCGAGAAGTGGCACCGCATTATGTGAAACCTTTGCAACCTCCATATCCAAGTTGGTATGACGTCCACGTTCGTTGTGAATATCATGCTGGGATTCAAGGACATTCTATTGAGAATTGTTCCACCTTCAAACGTCGAGTCCAACTTCTTCTAGATCATGGAGTATTGAAGTTTGAATTGAAAAGACAACCCAGTTTGAAAACAAATTATCCTGTTGAGTTTGAACCAAAAGTGACCAAAGGTAAGAGTATCAGTGAGGACATTTATGAAGAAAATTGTTTGCCAAAATACGAAGCTCTGATTCGTCATTTAAGAAGTGAAAATAATAAATTGAGCAGAGAGATGGAAGCCATGCGAGATGATTTTCGAAGGATTAGTCAAACTTTTAAATTTGTTGGTATAGGAAATGTCCCAGATGAGTGGATAATATGGGTCACTAAACTTAAAAATTATGTTGAACAGTTGGGAAAGAATTGCAAGATGCACGAAGGTCAAGTTGAGAAGTTTTCTCATGATTTACAAATTGTAGAAAAAAGACGTAATATAGTTGTTGATAATTTGGGAAGATATCAGACCGAGAATCAGATGTTGAATAAGTTCATTGCCAATATGGAAATTTCATATCAACGCCACAAGCGGGAGAATGACGTTGGGCTTGAAGCCGTTAGAACCAAGAACGAGAAGTTGATGAAGATTGTGGATGATTGCAATGATCTTATACAAGAGCTTCATAACCACAATGACTTTCTTACAAGGAAGATTCAACAGCAGTGTTTACAGCTCCGAGAATCGGCACTCAAGATAGAGAAAAGAGACAATGTCATGAAAGAAACTATGACACAAGCAAGCGATGTGGCTCACAAATGGGTTGATTTAGCTGGCTTTGCAAGAGAATTAAAGCATATTGACAACTCGACCCCCGAGCATGAGTGGAAATTAAATTGGATTTTGAAGGAGATAGAAAAGTTCGGAGTGAAAGCTGTCCATTATATGTAAAGTTTGTTTGATGTATTGAGACCTTTGTGTTCAATGAAAGTTGTTTTAAGATGGTCACTCTAGAATGACACCTTTTGTATTTGCATTTGGCATTTGTATTTGCATTACATGTATTTATTTAAGCATTTTACATGCATTAATTATAAAAACACAGAAATAATTTATGGAAGGTTATGTGACAGTAATAACAAGATCATCCTTTCATACTACTTCCTCATCGTCATGAATAAGCAAATGGAAACAATAGAGCAATCTCATAAGGGATCACAAGATCAGTTGCAAGAGCAGTTAGTCGGGTCACAACAAGATACGGGGAATCAAGCATCGGGTTCTTTGCAAGGCGTATCGAATCAAATG